GCCTTACCGCCAGGGTCCCAGGCGGTAGGATGTGTAACCCTACCTCGAGGACTAATGCCGGTAAGAAAAAGGGTCAAATTTTAAAACAATATCAAACTAGGGTCAGATTCTGAAAATATTTGCTAAAAGGGTCAAAATACAAAATTTGGCGGCCAGTGCCAGTGTCCGTCACGGACTGAGGGTGATAATCACAGCTAGCTAGAAGACGGGCTGAGGTTGGCCGTGCGTCTCTGTCTCAGATTTTGGCACTGTGACAGCCTTGTACGTATTCGCCAAAATATCAAAGTCCGGACAGTGCCAATGACTGACGTTGCTTTGACTATTCTCCTCCACACATGGAGGCTACGGGTGTGTCGGCAGCACATGGTCATGTGTACGTAGCATTGGAGAACACACCTGCAAATGTCCGTGTCCGTGACTGTGATAATTAACACTAGTTATAGAAAATTATGTCATGCTGGAACTATTTATTGGAATTATAATGATGTTTAGATAAATTTATAGCATTTCTAATGTAACTATCTACATTCTTTCAGCCAATGTATTGGGATTACAATGCTTGCTCCAGTTACTGTCATCGTCGCTGGGATGTCTAAGGAACTGTATCTATTTATTTTTCCTCGTGTTCTTTGCACTGTCACGATCGACAGTTTACGAATAAATCAAAAACAAATACCGCAAAGAAATATGATAGAGTATTTTCTCCGTCTGAATTACTTGTCAATCAAATGGATGTATCTAGCACTAAATCAAGACGGGGTTATTGTAGTAGTTTGTTTAAGGAATCATTGAAACCTTTCTCTCAGGTCTAAATCGAATCGAATGAAAGCTACTTTGCGCCTAACTAAGTGCTCCCAGTGCAGTGCACCGCAGAGCTTAATTTTGCCGTCTGTACTCTGCCTGGTTAGCTTATAAGCAGCTGATCGAGCTTGTGATGATAAACTAAGCTGGTTAAGAAGAACCATTTCCGGCAGCATTGCACAAAGAGCTGGGCTAGACAATAATTTCCCATGGCAGGTCTCGTCATGCAAGAGATGCTTCCGCGGGCATGGTTTCTCTTCCTTTTCTCGCTCTTCCTCTTGTTTCTGCATTATTATTGCTTCACTGCGAATGGGAAGACAGGTAAAAGGCAGCAGCGAGAAAGCCGCCTCCCGGCGTCGGCATTTATTTCTTTTTGTTTTCTCTTCTTTTTCTTTTGGGCTTGTTTGTGCTGCGGCCCCAGCAAGCTGGTCGGTTGGATGTTGTTTTATAATCTAAAGCGGAGGAAAATCCTTTTTCGTAAAAATATATGACTCGACCTGAGATAAAGGGTTCAATGCTTCCTAAAACAAACTACCAAAAACCTATTTAAGGGACCATCATATCTGTGATGAAATCGCTAGTGATAACTACTCCAGGTTTTGCCTCCGTTGGCTATTGCCTGGAGAAAAAAGTCCCATCGAGTCTACCAAAGACTGGGTTGCTGTTGTCTTGCCCATAATGTTGGTATTTTTCACATTTTTTGTGAGGGCGTAGGTAAGAGTCAAAGACCGCCCTGTCAGTTTCTTAGGAATGAAAGCTACGTTGCCCCTAACTAACTGCTCCTAGTTGAGTGCACCACAGAGCTTATAAGCAGCTGATCGGGCTTGTGATGATAAACTAAGCTGGTTAAGAAGAACCATTTCAGGAACCATTTCAGACAATAATTTCCCATGGCAGGTCTCGTCATGCTAGAGATGCTTCCGCGGGCATGGTTTCTGTATCTCTTCCCGCTCTTCCTCTTGTTTCTGCATTATTATTGCTTCACTGTGAATGGGAAGACAGGAAAAGGGCAGCAGCGAGAAAGCCGCCTTCCGCCTTTTCCACCGGCACTGCCCATCATCGGACACCTGCACCTCGTCGGCTCTCGCCCGCACGCCTCCCTCCGCGACCTCGCTGCAAGGCACGGCCGCGACGGCCTCATGCTCCTCCGTCTCGGCGCCGTGCCGACTCTCGTCGTGTCGTCGCCGCGTGCCGCGGAGGCGGTACTGCGCACGCACGACCACATCTTTGCGTCACGGCCCCGCTCCATGGTCCCCGACATCATCTTGTATGGCTCATCCGACGTCGCGCCATATGGCGAGCACTGGCGGCAGGCAAAGAAGCTCCTCACGAACCACGTGTTGAGTGTTAAAAAGGTGGAGTCTCTCCGCACCGTCGCCATGGAACAGGTAACTTCAAAAACAAAATATCAGTTTTCGTCCCGTTTGATAGAAATCCTTTTATTATCGCGACCAAGATTGTCACTGGGAATTGCGGGCCGGGGCTTGAAATACGATATGAAGCCTTGAAATTGGAAAGCATAAACGTCGTTCTAGTTAGATAGATGGTGAAAAAAATTATGGGTTGGGAGGGAAAATAAAAATTAGATAATGAGTTGACGAGAAAACAAATAGAAAAATAAAATTATTCAAACCAAGAAATGCGCACAGGAAGGCACGTAGTGCGTCCGGACGGACTAAAAAGATACCATCATAAAACAGCCACAGTTTGAGGAGAAAGCATGAGAGCTGGCGCATATTTTGAATTGGTACAACCATAGACTGCCGGTTGGTTCTAACAATAGCGAGAGGAAAGGTCATGGATTGCCAAATCCATTAGGGCTCATTTAGTTGTTGGGGATGAGAAAACCTGGGCAAGAAACCCCAAAGGAGGGATTTCCCTGCTCACATGGGATCCCCATACAAAGCACGAAAAAAAAACATGTTGCTGTTTGGACACCATGGAAGGAGGGGGGAGGAGGGAGGAGGAAGAGACGCTACCTTGGTCGAAGGAGTAGGAAGATGCTTGTCGTTGGAAAGGACAGGAGATCGCGCGGCGTCGTGGCTTTCTTCGTCGCGAGAGAATTTGAGCTGAAGGTTTCCTCCCTGGTCCCTCGAGACATGGAAAACTCTCCCGTGGAAACGATGCCGGATCGGGAGGCAGAATCCCTGATGATTAGGCAACCAAATGGTCCGGTACCTTCCACGGGCCGTCTAGCCTCGTGGGCTGTACGCCCTGGTTTTTGACCGGGATCCACGAGGGATTCTGTGCAAGCAAACAAGTCCTTGTAGATCTACTTAACACCGGCATCAATCTATGACTAAATGGAATGGTGAATTGATGAATAAACACCATCCAATAATTAGGATATTCCACATTTCTTACATATTTATTGGGAGCTTGATATATTTGTTTTCAAATCAGAATGTTGCCACTATATACATCCCGTTTTAGTTAGGGATTTCCTACCATCGACGTTGTTTGTAATTTTGTTATCACAAACTTACCATGTCGCAAATAAAATGTAGAAAATTGACTTACATTTTGTCCTCTCCTAACAATTACATAAAAGTTAGCTACTCTCATACTTCAAGATACATGTCATCATAGGTGAGCATGGTGATGGCCAAGATTAATGAGGCCGCCGCAGTAGGAGGTGTGATGGACATGAGCAAGCTTCTCAAGTCATTCACATGTGACATTGCGTGCCGCATCGTGTCGGGAGAATACTTCCTAAAAGAAGGACGAAGCAAGTTGTTCCAGGAGCTCACTAGCGAAACATCACATCTGCTAGGAGGGTTCAACATGGAGAAGTTCTACCCAACATTGGCTAGGGTAGGAGTAGGGCTGCTTAAGAGGAACATTAGTGCAAAGGCTGAGAGAGTGAAAAATAGATGGGATGATCTGCTGGACAAGGTGATCGATGATCATGATAGCAAGGACAAGTCAATGTTTGATTACAACTGTGGCAATTTCATAGACATTCTATTATCTATTCAGATGGAGTATGGTCTCACGAGAGAGCACATGAAAGCTCTACTAATTGTAAGTAAAAATAGTACCTTAAAAAATAAATAAATATGTATATATTATAGTGTCCTAATTAGTTGATATCCCCAGGATGTATTTTTCGGTTCAATAGAGACGATGTCTAACACTCTGGAATTCACATTGGCTGAGATCATGAGGAGCCCCCGCCTGATTGGGAAGCTACAAGACGAGGTAAGGAGTATCATACCCAAGGGACAAGAGCTTGTCAGCGAAGCTGACATTAACAAGATGGCATACCTAAGAGCAGTCATAAAGGAGTCACTCCGACTTCATCCTGTTGCGCCTTTACTTGCTCCACACCTGGCTATGGCTGACTGCAACATTGATGGGTACATGGTTCCTGCTAAGACACATGTCTTGATCAATGTATGGGCCCTTGGTAGAGACTCTAGCTGTTGGGAGGACGCTGAAGAGTTCATACCGGAAAGATTTATAGAAGAAGGAAGTGATATGGGTGTCAATTTCAAGGGGAATGATTTCCAGCTCTTGCCATTTGGGGCAGGACGCAGGATGTGCCCTGGTATAAACCTCGGGATCGCGACCGTCGAGCTTATGTTGGCAAACTTGATGCACCATTTCGACTGGGAACTCCCGCTTGGGGTTGAGAGAAAAGACATCAATATGACAGAGGTGTTTGGGCTAACTGTGTGCCGGATGGAGAAACTATTGTTAGTTCCCAAATCATGCATGTAGCTGGATGGATAAATTCTTCAAATCTAAGTATTTTGTGATACCGGTATATATTGTTGTGAAATAATTAATAGGAAATCCTGCCATTGGTGGAGCCAACATTTGATCATAGGGGAGGTCAAGAACATAATAACCAAAGCAGTATACCATATGTTGTACTTTCTGTTTGAATTACCATGGAATTCTCTACTTATGCAACAATAGTTTATTATGAGTATGCATATCAACTGAAATGATATCGGGGTTAGCTTCGTCTCCCCATGCAGATTTACATGTAATGTGTGCGCGCGTTTGATAGTAGCGATAGCGATGGAGATTCTGAATATTTTTTAAAAAAATAGCAGCGATGGCAGAGGCGTTGCTCCTCTTAATGATGCCATCATCACACTTATTCCAAAGGGGCCTGGGGCTGTTGTCATCCGAGATTACCACCCCATCAGCTTGGTGCTAATCAATGGCTCGCCTGGTGATAAATTTTCGCATGCCTGTGGGCTGCGATAAGGAGACCTTCTATCCCCCATCCTCTTCGTCCTTGTCATGGATGCGCTGACAGCATTACTCAAGAAAGGAGATGACAGCCACTTATTTGGTTCCATTGCTCGTTGTGTATCGAAGGAGGCTCCATATGCACAGGAGGCTGAGGCGGCCATGATATTTTTGCATATGTACAGATGGCATCTGGGCTGCGGTATAATTTGGTCAAAAGTTCTGCTCCCTCATCCACTGTGACGCGACAAATACTGATGTAGTTCTCCTCAAGCTTGCGTGTCCTATCAGGAGCTTTCGGGTGTGTTACCTTGGCCTTCCTCTCTCTGTCTCTCGACTGACGAAGATGGACCTTCAGTGGTATGTGGATCGTGTTGCTAGCCATTTGCCTACCAGGAAGGCCTTGCTGGTGCGCCGTGCTGGAAGATTGCTGCTTCTGAACTCGACATTACAGCAACTTGAAACAACCCCACGATTGTTCTTGCTTTGCCAGCTTGGTTCTGGTCCTGCATCCCGAAAACCCTTAGAGGATTCTTTTGGCGTTAGCACACAGAAGCGAAAGATAGAAATTGCCTGGTCATCTGGAGGCTTGTTTGCACACCAAATGAGTATGGGGGGCTTGGTTGTTCATAACTTGCATTTACTTAACCAAGCCCCCATGTTTAAGTGGCGCTGTCTAGAGAAGGTAGGTGGACGGCCACTTCTCGGCTAGAGCTGCTTTCGTCCCTTGGGCTCAACAACATTGTCATCATGAGCGCCTTCGGAAACAAAAGAAATTGTTTCGCTGTACTCCAGGGCGATGAGCTCCAGGAGGAGGTGGCAGCGGCACAACGGAAAGTTCCACTTCCTAGCTCGGCCTACCCGGTATCCTCTAGGTGTACCATTGGCAATTCCTGGGGATATGTTCTAGAAGAAGCATCAGCAGGGGGTGCGCCATAGACATTAGTCAGAAATGCTAGGCTAAGGCCAACTCCACCGCGCGACCCCATCTTGTCCGGGTACGTCCGTTTGTTGTAAAATAGACGAATAGCGCGGCCCAACGCACGGCCTCAAACTGACAAATGTTCGGATTCCGTCCGTTTTCGACCCATCCCCGGCCCAAAGTTGCGCTCGGTTTGGGGTGAAAAGGACGCGCGCGGACGGCCGCGATGCACGGCCTGTCAGGGACACTAGTAGTCCCACCGCTCCCAACGCTTCGACCCTCTCTCTCCCGCCCCGCCCCGCCGCCGGCGCCGCCGCTATTCTTCGGCCGCCTCCTCACCGCGCAGCCCCCGACCGTCCATACCAAACCACATGTAGACATGGCCGCCACCACGCCCGCGCTTTCGCCGTAGTTTTGGCCGTTGCCGTCTTTGCCGGTGGTAGAGGAGACACGACCGCTGGCGACGTACCACGACAGCCGCGACGGCTTCCGACGGCTCTAGAGCGGCCAGTAGCCGACCGGCAACCACCCCTACTGCGTCGAGGTGATCATCGCGGCCTCTTCGCCACCACGACCGCAAGGTGTTCGACATTTTGCCCACAAAGGTATGGACAGTGGAGACGAGTTTTTCTTCCACCACTTCCTTTGTTCATTGGACGATTCGTCATCGGATGATGAAGATCTTGTGGTAGCTGCACTGGTCGTTCACGACCACATTCAACGGCAGCTTCCTCGGTACAGGTGGCCAGTCCCTGGCCGTGCTCCCAACCTGAACTGCAACAGGGAGAGAGGCCATGCCCTGCTCTATGCCGATTACTTTTCCAACAAACCGCTCTTCAAGCCGGATAAATTCCGTCGCCGTTTTCGAATGGCAAGGCATGCGTTCAATCGTATCCGAGAGGGAGTGGTTGCTCATGACCCATACTTCGAGTGCAAGACGGATGCCCTTGGCAAGCTTGGGTTCTCCTCTTACCAGAAATGCACCGCGGCCGTCCGCATGCTTGCGTATGGAATTCCAGGCGATCTGGTGGATGAGTACGTGCGTATGAGCGAGACAACATGTTTGATGTCAATGTACAAGTTCTGCCAGGCTGTGATCGAGGTGTTTGGCCCAGAGTACTTGAGGCAGCCAACTGCAACTGATACAGAGAGATTGTTGGCAACCAACGCAGCATAGATTGTATGCACTGGGAGTGAGGACGTGGGCATAGCCCAGTGGTTGGGGGCGCATGATTGTAAACCTAACGACCAGAGTTCGATCCACGTCGGGGACGAATTTCTGGAATTCTCATGAGGGATGCTTCTTCTATATCAATAAAACCGTGGGTGCTAGTGCCCATGGAGTTTCATTTTTTTTGTATGCACTGGGAGTGGAAGAACTGTCCATTTGCTTGGCAGGGCCAGCACAAGGGGCATGTCAACGCGTGCACTGTCATATTAGAAGCGGTGGCATCACAGGATCTTTGGATATGGCATTCTTTCTTCAGCATGGCAGGTTCTCACAATGATATCAACGTGCTGCAGCGTTCTCCGGTCTTCGTGAGGCTTGCAGAAGGCCGCTCCCCACCTGTCAACTTTGAGATCAACGGCCACCAGTACAACAAAGGATACTATCTAGCTGATGGTATATATCCTAAGTGGTCAACTTTTGTGAAGACAATCTCGAAGCCTCAAGGTGAGAAGAGAAAGAGATTTGCCCAAATGCAAGAGAGTGCTAGAAAGGATGTGAAACGTGCTTTTAGTGTGCTTCAATTCCGATGGGGCATCGTTCGATACCCTACACTGTCATGGGATGAAAGGAAGCTTTGGGAGGTGATGACTACTTGTGTGATCATGCATAACATGATCGTCGAGGACGAGCGTGATGACAGTATCTTCGACCAAGGATTTGATTTTCAAGGTGACAATGTTGAGCACCTGCACCAAGAACCGGCCACGTTTAATCAGTTTGTCCAGTTCCATCATGAGCTGCGTGATTGGCAGACTCATGTGGATCTTTAAAATGACTTGGTTGAGCACGTGTGAGGGCATTTTGGCAACCGATAGATGTATTGGTTCGTTTTATGTTCAATCAAGACAATTTTGATTTGGTTGTAGAACTTTTCTTATTGGAGACAATTTCGATTGGGTTGTAAAACTATTTGAATTTTCAAAAAATTAATATTTGAACGTGCAAACTTGTTTTCATATGAAAATATGGGCATTTTAGGCCCTGCCGGACTGGGCGCACGTCCACCGCATGTCAGGACAGGCCTGGACATGACCCCATTGCCCTATCCAAACGGACAGAATCCGGACAAAACGGATGTCCGTTTAAGGTCGCACGGTGGAGTTGGCCTAAGTGAGTAGTAAGGAGATTCCCTAGGTCCTGCGTGCTCTACCACCGCGCTCTTGTCTGCCTCGTGTCACAGCCTCAGTCTGGAAAGTAGACGGTCCCAGGGTCCACTTGCACGTCTATTCAGCCGCCCATCCTTTCCTATCTAGAGCAGTCCACCCGTTTCCCCTCTCCCTTCCTCCCGTCCTGATAGTAGTACACAGTAAACACAAGTACTAGTAGTATAGGTCTGCAGGCTAGTACTTGGGGCTTTGCCCGTAGCAAAGTTGCATGCGTCCTGTCACATGCACTGACTGGTCACTGTTCACCTTTCACCCATCACATGCATATTCAGAGCCTCGTCTCTCCCTTTCTTCACAGCGCACAACAGTCAATAGTTAGAGAGAATAAGAGAAGAGGAGAGAAAGAGTATGCAAGATGCAAAAGTTTTCAGAAATTGGTTCAAAAAGTCAAACCGAAGTGAGATAGAGTTGCCAGAAGCAAAATATTTTATGGAATATTTTTTTGAGTCTGTTTCATAAATAAGCTGCATGCACATTCAGAGAGGCGATGCATTCTTCTTTCCGTTCTCTATATGCTTCTTCTGTTACGCATGTGACGGTGACTGGTAAGAGAGAAATACAAAAGAACGAGCAAAGTTTACGAGAAGGAGAGAACATGGCTACAGTAGCACTGCAACATGACATGTCTTGTCGTGAACAGTGGCCTACTAGGCCATCCAAAATTCGAAATTGGTAGGCTTCACGGAAGATCATCTCTACTCTTATAAAAACAAAGTTGGTGATGATGGTGTGCCTGCCATCCTGCAATATAGGCCGTTCGATTTATATCCGACGGATAGGAAAAAAAACTATGGAAATTTTGCCAAAAGATACCCACACCCCTCTGCACATTTGCAAATAAGGCTTTCCCTTGTTCATCATTATCTCCCACAAGATAAACTACTCATACAAATGCATCTTGATGTTCCGTGCAACGAATGAGCATCTTGCTAGTAAAGGATTAAGAGCCAGGCCCAACAGCTGTCTACACATATCCACATGTAACGTGGGAACGAGAGGAAGGCTGTGATAAGGGGTACCGGGTAGCCCCCGCTATCAAAAAATGTTCTCGCGGCACAACACATCGGGGGGCAAGAAAGGCGGCGGCGCTTAAAGGTACGAGATGGGAGAATTGAA